AGCGCCTTATCTCAGATCTGGTGGAGGTTTCTTTGGGACCTTGGCTGGTATTGCTCGACGGGCCATACCATTTTTCATGAAAGCTGTAACACCTAGCGCCATCGATTTTGGGAAAAATGTCCTTGGTGATTTAAGCAGTGGTAAACGGGATGTAAAGAGCGCTCTGAGAACTCACGGTATTGATGCTCTTAAGAGTGTGGGAAAGAAATTGGTAATGGGAGGTAAAATTAAAAGACTCTCTAGGCGAAAAAAAAAAATGTAAGTGAGGTCTTGGGTATAAAAATGATGTGTTTTCGCTAACGTAAGCAGTCATACTTCAACTTTCGGAGGGGATCATGGGGGAGCCTAGCGGAGCTGGGGTGAAAATACCACTAGAATATTATAGCTCCAGTATTATTGACCAATTTCCTAGAAGTAACAGAATACGTAATGTGGAGAGTTCAATTGCCTCTACGCAGCAAATAGACGTTCTACCTGTCAACCTCCTCATTAATCAACGTTTGTGGGATAATTACTTAGAATTCCGCATCCCTGGAACCCAGGGCGCCTTCTTAGATGTAGCTAATATTGTTATAGATTTTAAGGTATCTTTAACCAAAGATGACGATACCAAAAAATTGGAAGAGGATGACCATGTGGAATTTGTGAATGGGTTGTCAAATACCATGTTTAAAGGTGTTCAGGAGTTTTTAGGAGAGCAGGTAGTTGAAACAAATACTAATTTTAATTATTGGTCGTTTATTAAATTAATTACCTCCATCAAAAATGTCTTCCTTGGGGAGAATTGGAGGCTTTCGTAGGGACTGGAGAGATGACGATGGTATAATCACTAATGAGTTTACAAATACTTATTTTACTGGAGCAACCACCAAGGATAAAAAAATTATGGGTGATTTAAAAAGTAAAGGTTTGTCGATGTGTTTCCCCCCTCCTATTGGATATATCATCCCTAGACCAATACATATTAGATAATATAGATATGCGACTAAGATTGGAGCTCTCCCCCCATGCCTGGGTCCTAAATACAAGCGTGGACGATGGCTTTAAGTATCGCCTGCATATGGATTATGCTAAGTTATGGGTGACGCGGGTGTTCCCCTACCCAAGTGCTTACCTGGCCTTAAACAGCTCACTGTTAGCATCCCCTGACCCCATAACCTATACTTTCAATAGAACCATTTCTAAAACATATGTTCTAGCAGGGAATCAAACTAGTCTCTTAATTGATCAACCATAGGCGCAAGTAATTCCACACAAGATATATATGATAATCGTTCCAATGAATTATTTCGCCGGTCTTCACCAAGGTAATGGATTATATTTTGAAAATGCAAAGCTAAAAAGTATTGCTATGTATTTGAACAATAACACAATTTACCGAATTGGTGGCGATTTCGATAACCATTATTCCCGCCTTTATTATGAAACGCGAGGGGGGGTGTGGTTAATCACTATTCTTAAAAAAAATGTATGGGAATCTTCACCTGTTGTAGTTCTTTAAGTAGTTTAATAAAATAAAATATAAGTTATGTTGTTTATTTTCTCCCTTCTTACAAAAACCCATCCCCTGTATATTGGCCTTTCAGTACATAACGGGACAATGGGGGAAGAACATTACATATATCTTACCAGTCTCGATCAAGGAGATATTTACAACAACATGAGTTCAGCATTTACAAACACCATCCCAACACTACATTTAAACCCTTCCATTAAACATGAAGTGGCTTTAGTCAACATACTCCTCCCCAGGCGAATTAATGCCATCATCAAAGATGAGGAGGACTCTGGTATAGATATCTATGCCACTTTTAAACGTGGAACTCTTTCTAAGAGTCCAGAACACTTAATATACACCTTCCACCCAAAAACCAACATATTATCAAGAAACATCAAATTCATTACAGACGTGGTTAGTCGACAAATAACAACCGACATGCAGCTTAGCTTTAGGGATGATTTCAAAATATACATCTCAGATAAAGAACCAATCCTCACCTATGACCAATCTGTAGAGAGGGTATTACTAGCTTCAACTCTTAACAGTGAAAGTACTGGCTCCTTAAATTCTCTCAGCTTTCAATTTAAACACAGAATAGCTAATGTACTTGGTTTTGACAGCAATCGCAAATACACCATTTATCGAGCAAAAACAGATGACATTACGTCAGCCTCCAAGACTGTGGCCTTATCGCCCCCAGACATTGACGGAGGTTGTGACTATTTACTCATTTATAGTGACGTCATCGAGCCGGAACGATACGGAGGGCAGATTGTAAATATCTTAGATGCAATCAATTATCATGACTCATATTCTAGAGGGGCTCACCCTCTAGTGTACAAAACATTAAACACTAACACGTTGGAGAAAGTAAGTATTAAAATAACAGATCAGTTTGGTCGAATGGTTAGTTTTGAAGATGGGAGGTCGGTTACGGCGGTCTTACATATCCGCCCTAAGGTATAGCAACATATATATAAAGAAGTGTTTAGCCTCGACTTAGGTTATTATAGGAAGAGACCTCAGAATGCGAATACCGTTCCACCCACCCTCCCAGGGGGAGTTCGGGGAGATATTCGCACCTCCCCCTAGGAGACATGGGATGAGAGGGGGAGCGATGAATGACATACACACATTCCAAGCGCCTTATCTCAGATCTGGTGGAGGTTTCTTTGGGACCTTGGCTGGTATTGCTCGACGGGCCATACCATTTTTCATGAAAGCTGTAACACCTAGCGCCATCGATTTTGGGAAAAATGTCCTTGGTGATTTAAGCAGTGGTAAACGGGATGTAAAGAGCGCTCTGAGAACTCACGGTATTGATGCTCTTAAGAGTGTGGGAAAGAAATTGGTAATGGGAGGTAAAATTAAAAGACTCTCTAGGCGAAAAAAAAAAATGTAAATGAGGTCTTGGGTATAAAAATGATGTGTTTTCGCTAACGTAAGCAGTCATACTTCAACTTTCGGAGGGGATCATGGGGGAGCCTAGCGGAGCTGGGGTGAAAATACCACTAGAATATTATAGCTCCAGTATTATTGACCAATTTCCTAGAAGTAACAGAATACGTAATGTGGAGAGTTCAATTGCCTCTACGCAGCAAATAGACGTTCTACCTGTCAACCTCCCCATTAATCAACGTTTGTGGGATAATTACTTAGAATTCCGCATCCCTGGAACCCAGGGCGCCTTCTTAGATCTAGCTAATATTGTTATAGATTTTAAGGTATCTTTAACCAAAGATGACGATACCACAAAATTGGAAGAGGATGACCATGTGGAATTTGTGAATGGGTTGTCAAATACCATGTTTAAAGGTGTTCAGGAGTTTTTAGGAGAGCAGGTAGTTGAAACAAATACTAATTTTAATTATTGGTCGTTTATTAAATTAATTACCTCCATCAAAAATGTCTTCCTTGGGGAGAATTGGAGGCTTTCGTAGGGACTGGAGAGATGACGATGGTATAATCACTAATGAGTTTACAAATACTTATTTTACTGGAGCAACCGCCAAGGATAAAAAAATTATGGGTGATTTAAAAAGTAAAGGTTTGTCGATGTGTTTCCCCCCTCCTATTGGATATATCATCCCTAGACCAATACATATTAGATAATATAGATATGCGACTAAGATTGGAGCTCTCCCCCCATGCCTGGGTCCTAAATACAAGCGTGGACGATGGCTCTAAGTATCGCCTGCATATGGATTATGCTAAGTTATGGGTGACGCGGGTGTTCCCCTACCCAAGTGCTTACCTGGCCTTAAACAGCTCACTGTTAGCATCCCCTGACCCCATAACCTATACTTTCAATAGAACCATTTCTAAAACATATGTTCTAGCAGGGAATCAAACTAGTCTCTTAATTGATCAACCATAGGCGCAAGTAATTCCACACAAGATATACATGATAATCGTTCCAATGAATTATTTCGCCGGTCTTCACCAAGGTAATGGATTATATTTTGAAAATGCAAAGCTAAAAAGTATTGCTATGTATTTGAACAATAACACAATTTACCGAATTGGTGGCGATTTCGATAACCATTATTCCCGCCTTTATTATGAAACTTTGAAGACATTAGGCTTAGAGCGTGATTCACTACTGGCCTATGACTCTTTTAATAAGGGAAGATCAATATTCGCCTTTGACTTAAACACCATTCAAACAAAAGATTCCCTCCCTGTGGAGAAATCTGGCAACTTGAGTATGGAGTTTGAATTTGGTGGCGGTGTTACATATAACAGACTGGTTTTACTGTTTGGGGAAACGACCGGGGTACTATCCATCGACGGGCAGAGAACTGTTCTGTCTGACGTACGAGCTTAAAAACATAATGAATTGTTATGATATAAATATTAATTTAAAAAATAATCTAGGGGATCGAGCACTCTACCTAGGTTGTTATAATGCCGATGAGATAGAACATTTAAATATCTCTTCAAGAAAACCTATTGTTTTCATAACTAATATTTTACCATCACATAGCAGAATCACTATGGGACATTGGGTAGGAATTTATGTTGATAAAGTTAATCATCGGATGTTTTTTTTTTATAGTTATGCAATATCGCCGGTTACTTACGGACGTTATTTTCAAGGATTTATTAAAACTAACAAAATAAGAAAGGTGTTTGGAATGCACTACAGACTCCAGAGTGATTTTACTCTTGCCTGTGGGCTGTATTGCGTCATGTTCGTTCATAGGGTGAGCCACCTGGGGTTGCCTTCAACAGTACATTACTTACATAATGTATTTTCAAGCAATACTTTAAAATTAAATGATAAACGAGCCCTTGCTTATGCGAGACGATATTTTCCTATGAAACATCACTGTGTTAGGACATTTTGTAGAGGTATAGGAGTTGGTTCTTATAGGTGGTCTGGAGAATATTTTTGTTAGCTAGGCAACCTACCTAACAAGGGGTGGAGCCTCCTATAAAAACCCCTCTCCCCCACCCATCCCCCTCAGAAGACTGTCTTCCTCCTACGAAATGGGAGGTGTCTCTCAAAAATCACCTGCGGGGAAGATTGAAGTCCTTGAAGGACCTGGTTAGTATTACCCTATCTTTCTGCTAATAGATTTATTTTATGTTTATTTCCCTCAATAAAAAAGTTTGTATATCCTCTATTTCACCTCTTATGTTTTTCTCCAGTGCAGTTCTTGGGACCCGTCCACATTTGTAGAGTAGTAATTCTACGTGGGGGGTCTGCCCCAAACAAGATGCTGTTACGTAGTCTAATTGACGACGCCTGCTGTAGAGGGCACAAGGCCGCTCCTGCAGGGGGAAAGGTATGTACTAGTTGTTCTTAGAGAAAAATAGAATATTTTTCTAATAAAATATATAATTATATAAAAAACCTTTAATCACTATAAATTATTTCCCCCCATCTCTTTCCAGAACACTTCCGATGAGAGAGAGGAGGAAACTCAGCCAAAAGGTGTCCACCCAACTCACCCCACCCCCCCAAGAGAGGGGGGGGATGGGGCTCAAGACCTTCCCCCACTCTTCACTGACGAGGAATCGTCACATTTCTACTCAGACGAGGATGGGGGTGTGGGATAGGGAGGGGGGGGTAGAGCTGTAGTAAGTGAAATATGGCAAGAGCACTCTGTAAACTACAATTATTAACTAACATAATTACTTATACATTTTGTGGTTTTTACCTAATAAAGCATTTAATAAATTATTTGATGTTTTTTTTTAACCTTTGGGGGAGGGGGAGGATTTATAATTTAATACTCCTTAAATACTCCCATATAAGGGAGGGGCCATTCAGACTTGTTCGAATATATATATCCTTAATTAGTCCTATATAACGACGTAGTGTTTAAACGGAGATACACGGTGTAAGTGAAATATGACGGGGGCTCACCGTAGACTACAATTTGAGGTGGGTCTATCTGTCACCCCGCCTCTGATTCCTTTGTCTGATAAGTGGACCTATCTCCCCGCCTCTGATTCCATTGTCTGATAAGTACCCCCCATTGTTTGTTAAGTGCCATTATCTGGCTCGGAATATACTACTGACCCCATACCCATCCTGTGGAAGGGAATGGACCCCATACCCATCCTGTGGAAGGGAGTGGACCCCATACCCATCTTGTGGGTGCTAGTGGACCCCATACCCATCTAGTGGGAGCTAGTGGACCCCATATCCATCTAGTTGGTAGTAGTGGACCCCATACCCATCTAGTGGGTGGTAGTGGACCCCATACCCATCCTGTGGGTGGTAGTGAACCCCATACGCATCTAGTGGGTGGTAGTGGACCCCATACTCATCTTGTGGGTGCTAGTGGACTCCATGCTCATCTAGTGGGTGGTAGTGGACCCCATACCCATCCTGTGGGTGCTAGTGAACCCCATACCCACCTAGTGGATGGTAGTGGACCCCATACCCATCCTGTGGGTGGTAGTGGCCCCCATACTCATCCTGTGGGTGGTAGTGAACTCCATACCCATCTTGTGGGTGCTAGCAGACCCCATATTTTCCTGTGGGTGGTAGTGGACCCCATACCCATTCTGTGGGCGGTAGTGCATCCCATACCAATCTTTTTGGCGGTACTGGACCCCATGCCCTTCCTGTGGGTGGTATTGTGACCCCATACCCAAACTGTGGGTAGTAGTGGCCCCCCTCGTACCCACCATGTGGGCGGTAGTGGACCCCATACCCATCCTGTGGATGGACGTGGCCCCCATACCCACCCTGTGGGCGGTTGTGGATCCCATACGTATCCTGTGAGCGGTAGTGGACCCCCATTACCATCCTGTGGGTGGTAGTGACCCCATAGCTATCCTGTAGGCAGTAGTGGACCCCACACCCACCTTGTGGGCGGTTGTGGACCCCATACGCATCCTGTTGGTGGTAGTTTTATTATTATTATTTTATTATTATTTTCTACCACAGACGTGGCCACACAGTTACAATGCTAACCACCATATATACATTTTCTTCTGTCCTCCATGGACAGGGTTAGAGATGTGTTAAACATATAGTTCAAGGGTTTATTGAACAATCAACCACAGAAGGTGATTCGGTGCTTTTAAAATGCTAAGCTAACCTACATACGTAAATCCATAGCTACACAGATTTACGTATGCCCTACATAACGTGTTCGATGTGTCTTTTACATAGTGTCATTAATGTGCATTTACAAAGGTGAAATGTAATTCTGATCAGCTTCCATATATACTTAATACACATGCATATACATACACACACACATGCATTCACTTACATTTGTCTCTTTTACTCTGACAGGGTGAGATAGCTGATAGAGAAACTAGTGTGCAATAAAGCACTTAAGCACTGAAGGTGATTAAGGTGCTTTTACAAGCTCAGGTTATATAGTTACATAACATACATACATTGTATGTCGGCGGTAGTGGCGGTAGATTGTACATGTTGGCGGTAGTGAGCCCCATACCAATCCTGTGGGCGGTAGTGGATCCCATGCCTATCCTGTGGTCGGTAGTGAACCCCATACGTATCCTGTGGGCGGTAGTGGACCCCATACCCTTCCTGTGGGTGATAGTGGACCTCGTACCCATCCTGTGGGTGATAGTGGACCCCATACCTATCCTGTGGGCGGTAGTGGACCCCATACCTATCCTCTGGTCGGTAATGGATCCAATACCCACCCTGTGGGCGGTAGTGGACCCCATATGCCCATAGTGGACGCCTATGGGTGGTAGTTGAGCGGTAGTTGAGCTCACCTATGAGTGAGCGCTCTGCCATTGGTTCGTATCCTGGCCGGGGAGGATTTACTGGGCGCAAATCCTTAACTATAGCCTCTGTTTAACTCAACAGTAAAATGTGTACTTGGTTGTAAAAACGATTCTTCGCGGCGGGGGTCGTATTCCAGGGACCTGCCTGAAACGCTACGCGTACTAGTGACTGTACAAGAATGTAACAACTCTTGTATATAAAAAAAAAAATAAAAAAGTTAACCCCATACCCATCCTATGGGCGGCAGTAGACGATAGACCCATCCTGTCGGTGGTAGTTAACCATATACCCATTCCGTGGACGGAACTGGACCCTATACTCATGCTGTGGGTGACAATGGAGGCCATACCCATCCTGTGGGCGGTAGTTGACACAATTTTCATCCTGTGGGTGATTGTGGACCCCATACCCATCCTGTGGGTGGTATAGTGAACGCCTCACACATCCCTTGGGTGGAAGTGGAATATATACCCATCCATTGGGAAGTAGTGGACCCCTTACTCATCCTGTAGATGATAGTGGCCCCCAAACCCATCCTGTGGGCAGTAGTGAACCCATACCCATCCTGCAGGCGGTAGTGGACGCCATACACATTTTGTGTGTATTAGTGGACCATATACCCATCCTGTAGAGGGTAGTGGACCCCATACTTATCCTGTGGGAAGTTATTGGGTCCAGACCCATCCAACAAGCGGTATGGACCCCTTACCCACCTAACAGGTGGTAGTGGACCCTATACCCATTTTACAGTAGTTAGTAGACACTATATAATCCTGTTTGCAGTAGTTTACCCCATAGACATTCCAACGTAACATTGTTTTCTGTTAACGTTCCTACAATACATCCTTTAAAGATTTTTATAGCACAAACTAGTGTATATATTGTTGATTGGTGAAGCACTATTATTCTATGTAATAATTTATAGTGCTTATTATAATTTACTAAGAACAACTAATATTTCTCAAAACAAAACTATGAAACTTCAATAGGATGTAGCTGATCTGTAATATTCTAAGAGCATAGACAATAGCAGGTAAATTTGACAACACATGGGGGACCTGAAAACTACAATTTGCATTACAAGTGAACCAATCACGACTATCTGCTGTCTACGGTGATGGACGGGTATTGTGAGACGTAAATTAGTACGTGAGGAAGAGTTTGGGCCTTGGAAAAAATGTAACTGGGAATATACCACATATGTACTAATTCATATTCAACATATTGACCTTAAGCATTAAGTCATATATGTGCTGTCTTGTGCGAGAGCGGGTTGCATAATTCAGTATTCCCTTTGCTTATTAATTAATTCCACACTTTCAGATATCCAAGTCATCTATTACTAGTGGGGATCAAGCCCCAAAGTTTATTGATTAGCATGATCGATCCAGAACTCGATCATTGCTCAGTGTTACTGGTCTGGTGGTGGCAGCGAAAAAGTTATTCTAGAGTTTTGCTAGAAGTCTATTGCACGTCATACGGGTTGTAGAATCTTAAGTCGTGTCTAGTCTTAATTGTTGCTGAAAGCTGCGTGTCGCTCTGTTAGAATCTAGGTGGTCGAGACCCCCAGGCTAGGCGCAGTACGGGGAGCCGGTAGGAGCGATTATAGGATTACATCAAGTGTATCTTCGAATTATATATAATTAATTTTATGGAAAGTAATTCCTTTTATTTGTGTGTTCTAGAGATTACCAATTTTTGTTTCCCATAAATTCAATCCCCGGGTAATTCTTTTTTCCCCAAGTGTTCGGTAGTTTCTTGTACATTAGGCTAAGTCCGTACATTAAGTTTTGCTATTCCCTATTGTATTAGGCTAAGTCAGAGGTGTGGTTTTCTAGAGCGTAGTTAATCCTCTGAACTTAGGACTATATGTTGGTCGCTATAGTTAGTGAAGGAATTATGTTAAGGGATAGTAATTTTCGTTGTAAATGCTTAATGGAGTTCGTGGAATATTTCTAAGTATTTTGGGATAAGTTTTCGGCTAAGTCAACGTCGGAAAGTCGTTAACTGTAATTAATTGGTATTCGCGAGTAATGTATATGATCTGGGTATCATTAGGATTCCCCAGTCGATGCGAGTGATATTATTCTAGTTTACCAGTAAGATGGTAGAATTGCGATTTTAGACATAGAATTTTTTTGGTAGAAACGTAGGTGGAAAATTTTTTAAGTCCAGCTTGGGCTAGAATCTGACTTTTTGGCGAAAATTCGAATTTTCATGTTTTGTGTATATTCTAGGGTCAGTATTACCCTCGAGTGTGCTCAAGGGACATAATTCTGTTCTTAAGCATTAAACAGTGATAATTACATTTTTTGCCGAATTTAGTTATTTTTCGATAAAATTGTTTTGTATTTTTGTTAGAGTCCAAGTGAGGTGAAAACCTCGGATTTTGACGAAAATTCGAATTAATGAGTGTTTAAACCACCTGCGGCATCAGTATTGTTCTGTATACAGCGTCAGTATTAAATAACAGTGTATTCATATATGGGAACGAAAAACCCATTTTTGTGAATTAAGGGAGTTTTGCAATATTTGGGGTGATAGATTTTTTTCCGGGTGCAGAAAAATTGGCAGATTCCAGCATTTGAGAAAAAACGCGGTTTTTGGTGAAAATTCAATTTTGGCAAGCAAATATTTTTCCTGGGTGTTTATATTAATTAATCGCTAGAGCGGTTTATTAACGTAAAACTAGTTATTTTCCTTCAGAATGAAAATATTGATTTTTAAGCGTTTGAGCGAAAAAGCGCGGGACTTGTGTTTTTCAGCTCAGCTGGTCCCGCTCCGCCAGTCATCAGTGGCCACGCTGTTCACTTCAAGTGCGTCTAGTGTTC